GAATTTATAGTAGTTACTAAAGAATTAAAATACCGCACTGCTTCTCCTATCATGTTTTTATTCTCTTTCATTTTTATCCATTCTATTTCAGGTGTATTCCATTTTTTTTCCGATTTTGTGCATATATATGCTGCCCCTATGCTACCATTCAAACCTATATCACCATTATTTCAAATTCCATTGCTTTTTCAACACGTCATTAAAGAAAGTCTCAAATCACTTATTGAAAAACCAAGCAGCAATATGTGTATTATTTATAATGTTTTGATAACTATTTGTTGATTCAAGTTCCTCATTAAATGGCATAAGTTTATAAAGCTCAGGCCAGTGAAAATCAGCAGCACTAAAAGTGAAAAACACTAAATCATGAGAACTTATGCACTTAATCATGTCAGATAATTCGCAATGACATGCAGACCAAAATTGTCGTGAACCGTGCAAACCTTCACCAAACCGCATGATACGATCAGCTATATGCTTATCCTCTTAAGCAATCTTCTCTTGAATATCTGCAACTGTAAGTTGAACATCGTTTAAACTTTGTTTAACATAAAATTTTTCATCTTGTAGCACTCTCCATCTCATCTGGGAGTTCAACGCGAAGTATCTCTAACGTGTATACTGTGCAAACCTTCTATCCTTATACTGAAGCAAATGTTTGAAATATTCTGCTGGTTTGACATCTCTAGCTCATTCTGCATAAAGGTTCCCATTTCCTGTTAGATATAAAGTTGAAAACACACGTGCAATATACCCTTGCATTTGAAACTCACTAACAGGATTATTATCAATTTGTGGCCATGCTATAGGACCATTCTCACTTTGTATACAATTTAAGGTATTACTAATCACACCTTCTTCACACTGAGCTGGTAGAAGAGAAGGAACGAAGGTATGGGTTATCATTTCATCTTCATTGTCATCATTTAAATTATCTGAAATGGTTTTAAGCTGGTTATCAATAGGACCATCGATAGGCAAGGATTGGAGAATTTCATCATCAATTACAATGTTTTTATAAAATTGGTTGTTTGCCTTTAACCACCGCAGTGAACGGGCAACCTTAGCATGCCGAACATTAAAATCCTTGAATGATGCAGAATTTTCTGATTGGTGACGCACAATAAGTACATCTAACGAAGATGGATGTTGGGAAGACGGGTAGTAAAATCTCGTACGTCCTGAGGGAAATTTATAACGTTGCCAAGCTGTCCTCTACGAAGTTTATAAATTGATATCACTGAAAATACTTGCGCTATCAGCATTTCTTCTATTTCTGTCAGGCCTAGAAGTTCTTCGGGTACCTTCTCCAGATCTATATTATTTTCTGCTGAGAATTTTTTTAGCAGAGCCTTCTCATTATAACATCTATGACATTCATCTTTAATCAGCATTATTGATAGAAAGCACTCATTACATACTGGACAAAGTGTGAATTTAAGCTTATCCATTTTAGTGCGAAACTTTTGTAATTGCTTTCTGGTTGATTCAGTAAGAACAGCAGCAGAGATTTCATCATTATTCGTTGCTTCAGTATTCATCCTATTTTGATTTTAGCTACAGCCTTCTTGAGGATTATTATTTTGATTTTGGCTATAGCCTTCTTGAGGATTATTGTTTTAATTCAACTGCGTTTCAGTTGAGCTTGAATTTGGTTGACTGTTTTTTTCATGGTAAGTACGATAATATTTCAGGTGTTCTTCGTGTTGTTCATTAGTCTCTAATGCCCTTTTTTTTTGTTTTCTGTCACGATCACGTGCGAGCCACGCTTCACGCTCTTCAATAGTTTCTATTGCTCTTTTCCGACGTTTATTCTCCCGATCAAGGGCAAGACGTGTTTCACGCTCTTCACATGTCTCATTTTCTCTCTTTTTGCGCATTCAAAGAATGTTAAGAGAACCTGGTCCGTTTTCTATTTTATATCTTTATACTCTATTGTTATCGCTAAGTAAACTCTTGATTTAAGTATAAGTATTGTGAAGCTTATAAAAAATTCTCTCCGATCAGTGAATTTACTATTAGACTTTCAATTTTAGTAAAGAAAATTTCTGATCCTAAAAAAAAAAGTGAATATATGATGTTGCATATCTTTCCTTAGTAGCAAGTTACTGATTTATCACACAATAAAAAAAAATAAATAAATAAAATTTTGAAACTAATCTTTGCAACATCATGTTATCAAACAAATTCAATTTTCTTGAATAATATGAATGGAGTTTCATAATTAAACTCAAAGAGTCGAGCTCTCTAAGTCACATATTATGTAAATTCTCTCTAAAATATATAGTATAGTCTGGTCTCAAATTATAAGAAATCTATATAATTGCTTTTTATAAATGTACACTTCTACATTTTCCTATTTTTTCTTATGATCCCGCACATGTGCAATTAGGTAGGTTGACTGTATTGAATAAATTCCTACTCATTTCCAAACATGCCACTTATTTAATTTTGAAACGCAATATTTCAAATTGACAAAACTTTTATTAGAAGCTTTTAGAAAACTATATGATAATTTATTAAGCTGTTATATTACTTTATAAGTTATGAGTTTTTTTTTGATTTATTTTATTTATTTTTTTTTTTAAATAGTTATATTAAAAACTATGGAAAATTATTTAATAACAAACACTTATGAATAAAAATGAAAGAGAATAAAAACATGATAGGAGAAGCAGTGCGGTATTTTAATTCTTTAGTAACTACTATAAATTC